TAGGGTCTGGGGGGGGGGGGGGGGGGGGGGGGGCTAGATAATGCCTCCAGCCAGGAAATGAGACTTAATACAACTTATAATGCACAATGTAAGATACTCACAGTGTGCAGTTAAATCATAGTCAGCAATTTGAGTCCAGGAGAGGACAACTGTACAAGACTGAAGGTAAGGCCAGAGTTCAGCTTTAACCGCAGCAGATTAAAACCAGGTGTCCTGCCCTGCCAGATGGTGATGTGCTGTGTGGCAGATGTGTGTGAGTCTCAGAACTGGATGGACAGAAATACAAATCCTTTGACAGGTAAAACAGCTCACATATATGTATTTCATCTGTGTATTTAGCTGTTGAATTGGAATTCATCTTTAATGTGCTGCATACTTGTTCTGGGTCACTAACTCAAATCATCAAGCAGGAGGCAGCCAAACAATTCGAATTTTTAGGATACCAGCAATCGCAGCCGCATATTTCTCTAAGTAAAATTTTTCTTTATACAAACCAAATACAAAAAAATGGGGGAGTGTATCATTCAAAGTTGTTACTACCCAGGAACAAGTGACATAAATGAAACCATCATGCTGGCCACATATTAGCAGGCTTGCATAAATCTAACTGCATAATCCCTCCCAGCTGCTGGGGTGACTTACTGAGCCAAAAGCTGCACATACCATCTGCAAGATATTCACTATGATTTTAGGCATCAAAGTGGAAGCACCAATAAGACAGATATACTGTGAGCGGATAGAAGAAGAGAGAGGTCCCTCTACAGCGTTCACTCCCAAACAAGAGAACCAGTCTCCTCAGGGAACGCAGCTTATTTTTAAAAAGATGCAGTTGCTTCAAATTAGAGAACTTGGCAAGTGCTAGTGAATGGGAGTGGAGCTCAGCAGAGAAAACTTCATCATCTGCAAGTTGTAGACTTAGTCCTGTCCCGGAGATCAGACAGTCTGCTGCAGCGTCCCTGCCGCTGGAACATCTTAGAGCACCTTCAGGAATAAACGGCTCTGATCCCTGTGCAAACCTATGGGACTGTTTGGCTGTAAGAGTGGTTCTGGGATGTCGCATGACAATATTCCAATTTAAGGTAAGAAAAGGGATTTGTGCCTAGTAGATGCAACACGTAGGATATAGCCATCACATTCTAGAGTTCATCCAGGATATTGATATTTCATGTTTTCTAGGATCTGGAAAGATAAATCACCCACCAGAATTCTTTTATCTTTGCTCGGGAGACCTCCAAGAAGCAGTTCTCTGCTTTCTATCTTTCTTGGAGTCTCACTGCGCAGTATTCTCCATAACATATTTTAAAACCAACAGTGAAAGTGAGATGTCCTGTTCAGTGGGCGGACCTGCAGAGTCAGGAGGTTAAACCATGTTGCTAGATGTGTAAAGCTTTTCATTTATCTAAGTCATGGCATAGCTATTATTGGTCATTTTAGATTGGACTTCTTTAGTAATGTTGAAGATGTTTTATTACTCTGCTTTGTGTCTTCTTCAGTTCAATTGAGTGTCAGGATCATACCCCGGACTGGGGTATGTTCCATCTAGAAGATATGTTGTCCGCACACCAGTCTGCTTCAGAATGTCATCTTTATTTGTATTCCTTTAGCATGACATGTGAATGGGGTAGGTTCCAGACACTCATTTGAACTGAGTAAGCCTTTTGGATGAGTGGTGAACGGGTCTTCAGTAATTCCAAACACATCCTGTTCCTATATTTCATGAGATATAAGAGAAGCCAGTAGGTGAGAGAGCACACTAGTCTCTACCCAAAGATGACAAATCGGGCTTGGGTACCAACTTATGTAAGTACTATGGGGTGGGCGTTACTGATTGCAATATATCATCTCAATAACATGGAACAATAAAATCAGGAACATAGCTAGCAAGAGAGCTCCTGGAAAAGTCTAATTGGTTTGTGTCAAAGTGATTAGTTTCCTTGTGTTACATGTTTATGTAGCATTGATTGTTTAGTATAGAAAACCTTTAAGCAGCAGTTCCTAGCTCTGATTTCCCTTGGGGTCTTACTCCTTATACTGCAAGGTCACTTCTTCCACTCTCCATAAAATATTTTAAAACCAGCAGTCAAAGTGACATGTCCCGTGGGCAGACCTGCAGAGTCAGGAGGGAAATCATGTTGCTAGATGTGATGTGTGAAGGTTTTCATTTCTACAGGTTATGGTAAGGCTAGTATTAGTAAGTCATTTAAATTGGATAAGGACTGAAAATGTTTTACTATGCCTCCAAGTGGCTTCTTCAGTTCTAATGAGCGTCAGGATCATACCCCACACTGGGCTATGTTCCAGGCACTCATTTGAATTGAGTAAGACATTAGGATGTGTGGTGAAAATGTCTTCTTTAATCTTGTTTCTACGCTTCATGGGACATAAGAGAAGCCAGAAGGTAAGTAAGCACACTAGTCTCTACCCAAATCAGGCTTGGATACCAGCTTATGTAAGTACTGTGCGGTGGAGGTTACTGGTGGAATACATCATCCCACTAGTAGAGAAGAATAAGGCTCTGTTCACACCTAGGCGTATCGAATATGCGCGTTTGTCGCGCGTTTTAGTGACGCGCATTTTTACCGCGATGCGTTTACGAGGGCTACTTGGCTGTATCCCAATGGAAACGCGCGACAAAAACGCTGTAAAGAAGCTCGTGTGCCTTTTTGGCCCTGTTCACACCTTTACGTTTTGTCGCGCGTTCAACGCTCTATGAACGCTCTACAAAACGTACAAACTTGAAAATCCCATTGTTTTCTATGGGTATGGTTCACACCTTTCCGTATTTCAGCCCGTCTGAACGCGCTACAAAACGGCCTACGCCCAAACAAGTACATGTACTTCTTTGGGGCGTTTTGGTCTCGCGTTTTCATTGGGATACAGCCAAGTAGCCCTCGGAAACGCGCGTTTTTACCACGATGTGTTTCCGAGGGCTACTTGGCTGTATCTCAATGGAAACGCGGAACAAAAATGCCGCAAAGAAGCTCATGTACCTTTTTCAGGCGTAGGCCGCTTTGGAGCGTGTACAGACGGGCTTAAATACGGCAAGGTGTGAACCATACCCATAGAAAACAATGAGATTTTCATGTTTGAGCATTTTGTAGAGCGTTCGTGGAGCGTTGAACGCGCTACAAAACGTACAGGTGTGAACCAGGCCTAAAGGGAAGACCATGGTTATCAAGGTAGAGCTACTGGAACGTTTAGCTGGTTTGTGTCAAAGTGATTAGTTTGCTTCTGTTAGATGTCTATGTCTTGTTTAGTTGTTTTTTTTGTTTAGTATGTATGTTTAATACTTCTGTAAAACAAGGGCACAGAGAGGGAAATCCCCAAAAACCATTGCTTTTGGTTTAAAAAGTTTAGATGGTAAGTTATCAGCTATGTATGGATATGCAATACTCCTCTACAAGAACAATGCCGTATCAATCCAACAAGAGATAGAGCACAAAATGCACAGTACAGTTATCAGATGTTTAGTAGCTGTTTTGTCTGATTGGCTGTGAATTAATATGAAATACTCCTCTGGGAAGAACAAGCCTGATGCAATAACAGACAGAGACATCACAATGGATAAGCCTCATTTGCGGTGCAGAACTACAACCTTGTTAGAGATATCATGCAGCTTCCTAACAAATAATTCAGCAGACAATCCATCCATGTAAATATTTTTTTCCTTCTTTTTCCCAAATGCTTTCAAATGAAAGTACTTCTTTTTTCTGCAACATAAACTTTATATGCCTGAGAGCTGTTCCTTGTAAACCCGTCATTCTCTTACCTGGCTTGTGATCTACCACCGAACTAGGTCTTATTTTCGGGGTAGGTCTTATATTACAGAAACCCCTGAAGATAGTGCTAGGTCTTATTTTCGGGGTAGGTCTTACTTTCGGGGAAACACGGTAGTGATGTCTGTTTTGCAAGAAGTAAAAGTTCCTCCTTTTCATTCTTCATTATAAGGTCACTCACTGGGATTAGTTATTCTACGGGATAGAAATAATTGGTGTGTTTATATTCAGGAAGACGTTTTTCTACCAATCGAGGTAAAAAAAAATCTCACCTTTTAGTTTACTCATTTGTATTGAGATTATAGTCCATCACAGGAGTGAGCTTGGAATGGTGTCTACTTTACAACACACACAGGGATCATGGGGAACAAAAGTAGCAACCCTCCAGAAGGAAGGACAGTGTCAGCACCAATTCAGAGATGATTTGAGGATCTACAGCCGAGTGATACACAAATAAGATCAATTTTTGTTCATATTTAAGTTACTAGAATGCATTTATAATTTAACTCCTGAGTTTAGTGCCACTTTAATGCCAATATGGTTTCTGGCTTCTCACTTTGATGCTTTGTGCTGGCATAGCTGAGTAATGGCCACGCCCATTTGTTATACCTAAAGTATAAAATGAATACATAAAAATGTGTTACATGTGAAGTAAGAAGAAACATTTTCTAAACATTCGTAAAGTGGACGTTACTTTGAAAAGTAAATATTTCCTATCTTATAATGAACATCTAGAAATATTTCTATTGTAAATTTCAGGGATGCACCATTACCGATACTAGTATCGGTGTCAATGCCGAGTATTTGGGCGAGTACTCTTACTTGCCCAAATGCTCCGATGTCTAGCCCGATACCTGAGCTTCCGGTATCAGGAAGCCAGCCAATGAGTCATTACACGCTGCCTGGCTTCCTGATTGGCCAGGCAGCCGCCGCTGTGCTCCTTCATTACCTGGTGATAAGGGAGCATGGAGCCGGCTTCCCGGCCAATCAGGAAGCCGAGCGTACTCGTTATTATAAATATTTGTGGCTAAGCAGTACTCTGACTTTTGCCTTGTATTTCTATATATCAGAGAATATGATTATTATTCAGGATTTCTATAGCGCCAACAGTTTTCTTTAAAGGGGGACAGTACAGTTACAATACAATTCAATACAGTAGGGCCCTGTTCATGAGAACTTACAATCTATTCGTAGCACAAATGATGAAGCTGTCTCCCTGGCAGGATTCCGAGACAGTGTCATGATGTCACAACGAGGGAACCAACTGCAGCGTTGGATCGCTGGTCTCCACAACCATCTGAGACAGGAGCAAGGGACAAGTAATGGGTCATGGGTGAATAAAAAGCAGGTTGTAAACTTTTATTTTAAAGAAGAACTCCAGGAATTTTTTTCCCTTAACGCTTGCCGTAGGGCTACTCCCACACTGTAAGGGTTAAGTGCTCGCTTTCAGCTAGGTGCAAAAATAGCAAAGCTATACTCACCCGATCCTTGAAGCCAGCTTGCTGTTACAGCACTTCCTCCTGCCTCTCTCCTCCTTCCTCTGCTCCATTGACGGTATGTCACTCGCTGTCCTCATTTCCAATACACTGTGTTTTGGGTGTGATGATTTACGAGACCTTTGACCGCTGCAGGGAGGTGGGGTGAAGAGAGTCTCCAGGAACAAGTCTAACAGCCAGCCAGCTCTGAGGTTCAGGTGAGTATAACTAAGTTTATAACCCTTGTTAGCCCCACTGCAAGGGTTAAGAATTTTTTTAGAGTTCTTTTTTTATTTTTTATTGTTGAATGTTTGGAAGAAGGGGGTGGAAGAGGACTGGAAGGGGGATTACGTTTGCCCAGACATAGGCTTTAATTCCTTTCCCTAATACAGGGATGACCGGCCGCTTTACATTTTTAGTTGATGTTTGTTTATGAAATGAAATAATCAACATAATAAGCAAGACGCAAGTTAAGATGTGAAAATTGCTATCACGTGAATGTCATAATAATGAGTCAAAATGTGTACTTGCTGAAAATATACTATCACTTCACATTAGGGGCCAACTTTTGCCAAACAGATAATTTGCTAGTTGAAACAAATCCACAGTATTCCTGCCAAAACATTTCCAATGGAACAGCCTACATACAGTCCATGTACCCATTCCACTCCTGACCGCTCATCCATTAAGATTGGTGCAATGGTAGTCAACAGATTGCCACCGTCTCAGTGATACAGACAAATATGGACACTCCAATAATAGAATACGTCTATTTAATGACGTACGTGCAAAACATACTTGTTGCGACATTTCAGGGTCACGTAGGAT